AACATCATTTATAACCCCACCACCTAGACTGAAATAACCACGACCATTCTGGAGCACACCCTTCTAAGCTTTCTTCCAAAATGAACATCTTGACAAGAGAACAAAGCACGAAGGCAGTAAGCAAACTTGAGGTCTACGTAGTCATTAAGCCGGGGCAGCCAGGTAAAGTTATCATTCAATACACTTCTAAGAATGAAGGGGCTTCATTCCACTTCTAATAAGCAAGCCAAGAAAACACATAGAAATCACAGCCATCCCTGGCAAACCAGAGTGTACAACTGCCCTACATATCTGAACAGTCCAGCCTCCTGATTAGGAAATCCTACTTTAGAAATAGTCCCATTTATCAGAAGGTATAAATTATACATTCTTCCTATAAAGCACAATTTAATAAGTTGTTAAAAAGGGCAACAAAAAGATAAACCTTCCTATGTTATAAGTAACCTAAAATTTTTATGAAAAACTTCTCAAACAGAAGCTACAATTTAACATCAGAAAGCACAGACTATAGATAGCATTCCTTCCTTCCTATTAAGTCAGAAAAAAATTTCATTACAATTTATCTTTGCATAGGTCACTCAAAGAGAGAGAACAAAGGACGTTTTTCCTAAATTATCAAGGTATCACTGAGGCAGTTACATCTAGTCCTTCTCAACCAAAATAATACACCTTTGTTTTCTCCTCCTGTAAGTGGGTCAGAGCCCTTACAAACGCCGGAAGCAGGGAAACAGCCTGAACATCAAAATATATTGTTTCAAACGTACTCCTAGGAGCTGACAAGATGTTCTGGGATGAGAACAAAAAATGAAGCCATAATTAACAAAATCTGTTTAGATGGAGTCTGATTTAAAAATAATACTCCACAATATAAAGCAAAAACAGAAACCCCACTAAAGTATTGAAAATCCAAGCCTAGATTCAAATATAGTGATACATGGTTGATAAGAATAAGAAAGCCAATTCTCTGAGCTTAACATTGATCCTTTTAAACTAGGATCTTCACAGCAGTGTCAGATTTGGCTTCCTGCCTTTCTCAGTAACTACTTACCTACGGCTATTTTCTTACTTCTTTTCTCAAAATACTCTATTTTGAAGATGCATCCTGCGGAAATTCCCTATCTCCACTGATCAAATTCTATTTACAGTAGAATAACTTCTGGATCAAATACACTGGGCACAATATAAAAGGTCTTAATCTGTTTAGGTTGCTATAACATAATGCCATAGACAGAGTGACTTATAAACAACAGAAATTTATTTCTCACAGTTCTGGTGGCTGGAAGTCCAAGATCAATGTGCCGACAGGTTGATTCTGGTGAGGGCTGGTTTGCTAGCTCACCAGTGGGGCCTTCTAGCTGTGTCCTCATGGTGGAAGGGGCAACGGGCCTTTCTCAGTCCTCTTTATAAGGGTATTCATCCCACTCATGAGAGCTATGCATTGGTGATCTAATTGTCTCTCCCAAAAGCCCCACCTCCTAATACCATCACATTGGGGGTTAGGAATTCAATATATGAATTTTAGAGGAACATATTCAAACCATAGCATGGTCAAAAATAAAATTTATTTTTATCCTTTAATGGAGCAATGGTGAAATAATCGTTCTATGTGGAGGAAGTATGGAATGAACATACATTAAAACAATTCTTTAAACTGAGTCCTAAGAATGTAGAAAAGGTATAGAAATCATGTGATTTATTATGTTTTCTACATATAAACCCTTCCTGGACAGAAATTAGGGAGCAGTGGAGGAGGAGAAGAAAAAGGAAAAAAATGTTTTTTAATTTTAAAGCCTAACCATAAATTGTAGTTTCAGAAAGTACAAGGAGAAGTGACACCAAACTTTGAACCTCACTAGACTCTAAAAATGGGAAAATTTACACGCGATGAGAAAGAATTGCACTTTGAAATGGCAACTTTTACCATCAATTTTTTTCTGTTATGTTACATACTAAATATATTCAATTTATTACGGGCCTTCAGTTTCCACAAATAAAATATTTGTCCAGTATATACTGAAATAACTATCTACCAAATATTTACCAAAGTGCTTAAGGTGATTAATTAAAGTAATCTTTGTCGGTACCATGCCAGTTCACAGTCTGCAATGTTTTATTGTTATTATTCTGACTTCATTTGCCTGCTTTTTAAAGAATGTTCCAGTATCATTTTTACGAAATTGAAAGGAAGAGACTGAAAGCAAAAAGATGTAAGAACTCTTAAGTGAAAGCACAGAAATGGTGTCAGAAAGTAAAATAAATTAGCTTTAAAAGGGGCTGCATGGTAAGAAAAGGATGTAAACTTTTAAAATTTTGTTTCTAAGGAACTCTAATTTTGATGCCAAAATTAGATGGTGACATATTGAGGTATATAACAGGACTATAAAGCTAAATTTAGATGTTCCTTCTTTAAAGCATCCGCCAGCTCCTAGACCACTTATTGAATAGGTATCTTGTGCTAAACAGTTATGTACATTATTTCAGTTAAAGCTCAAAATGTGTATGCATTATAGAGAAACTGGACTCCGGAGAAGGTTACCTATTTGCCCTAGGTAAACACTAGTGACCAAGTTGATATGAAAATCCTGCCTGACTCCAAAGCATGTGATCATTCCTCTAAATCAAGTTGTCCCTCATACCATCCACCCCTCTTCAGTATCTACTTTATATGCACTGTCCCCTTAAATCCTCACAACCCTGTGTGAGGTGAGCATTATCATCTTCATTATAAAGATTAGGAAAACTAGCACAATGAGGTTAGGCAACTTGCCAGAATTTAGCTTCTGGTCCCTGGCTCCAAAGTCCATATATTCTTTCCAATATATTTGCTGCTTTCAGCTCTAACAATCTACAAATCTATCATCACGTGACCATCTCTTCCTTTACAGTAAACCATGATTCTGTGCAGGAAGATCGAGTCAGACGTGATACTTCGTTACCACTGCAACTCTCATCTTTCTCCCTTCACACACTCCATATCACCTCTCCCAGCAAAATCACCAGACATCTTCTCATGGATTGGTATTAGTATCAGCTACTCCCCCTACCACCCCTATAGACGATCATAAACGCTGAAGAAAAGTAGGAGGAAATCTTCCCACCAAGAAAAGGTCATTGGGGCCACTTTTACAGTCTGTCATATTCTACCTGATAATCTTACTCCAACAAGCCCAAGGACCAGGTCAAATTCAATATATATTTAAAGTAAAAGTTTACATATTCCCATTGATCTTATGTCATTATCAGCTGGTTGACGGCAGGCAACATTTCTAAGTCTGTGACTTCACCTATAAAATGAATAAGATAGCAAATGACCCTTCAACCTTAGAGCTAATCTAACCTACATCCCCTCTTCCTTTGCTTGCTTGTGAGAAAGCAGCTGAAAATTTGGCAGGGTGCAGTGACTCACACCAGTAATCCCAGCACTTTGGGAGGCTGAGGCAGGTGGAATGCTTGAGGTCAAGAGTTCGAGGCCAGCATGGCCAACATGGTGAAACCCATCTCTACTAAAAACACAAAAGTTACCCGGGGGTGATGGTGCACGCCTGTATTCCCAGCTACTCAGGAGGCTGAGGCAGGAGAATCGCTTGAACTTGCGAAGCAGAGCTTGCAGTGAGCCAAGATCACCCCACCGTACTCCAGTCTGGCGAAAGGGTGAGGCAATATCTCAAAAAAAAAAAAAAAAAGCAGCAGCTGGAAATGTACAGGCAAGAGCAGATAAAACTCGACAGTAAGTAAAGCAAGTGGTCATTATTAGGTTCTGCAATACACACAAGGACCTACTCAGAGGCAGGTGTGCACGCACACGTCTAATCTGAAACAAGCGACAAAAACAATCTAGAGTTTATTCTTGCCAACCTGAAATGAATCACCTGTTTTTACCTCATCTACATTCAAGAGAGGGCCCAGATTGATCCAAAAGAGACACTGAACCATGCTCACCACTGAGTCTTGAGGCAAGCCAGCTCTCCAATCCTTAGAATGACCTCTGGCTTGACTGCAGTTATCAACTGGACATGAGGAATGGAAAGCTACAAAAGCCTAAAGCTTATCACAGAAGCAGCATTTCAAATATAAATCTACTTCTGTATTTTATTAATTCTGGTAGAAGGTAAGGCTCAAAAAGCCTGGATATCTTAACATTCTAATCTTTTTTTATTATTCTTCTTCCTTTTTAGAGACACGGTCTTGCTCTGTCACTCAGGCTGGGGGGCACTGGCACCATCCTAACTCACTGTAGATTCCAACTCCTGGGCTCAAGTGATCCTCTCACCTCAGCCTCCAGAGTAGCTGGGACTCCAGGCCCACTACCATGCCCACCTACATTTCCTTTTTTTTTTTAATCTGGGCAGATACGGGGAATCCCTATGTTCCCCAGGCTGGTCTTAAACTCCTGGCTTCAAGCAATCCTTCCCCGTCAGCCTCCCAAAGTGCAGAGATTATTTCCATGTGAGCCAATGCACCCAGCCTACATTCTAATCTTAATTCTCTAAATCCAGATGATGACACTTCACAGTTGAGGAGCCTGGGATAGGATCAAAGGTGGCAAGATTAAAATTAAAATCCTAAAGTCATTTGTAATCCCAGCACTCTGGGAGGCCAATGCCGACAGATCACCTGAGGTCAGGAGTGCAAGACTAGCCTGACCAACATGGTGAAACCCCGACTCTACTAAAAATACACAAATTAGCTGGGCACGGTAGTGCATGCCTTGAATCCAGGAGGCAGAGGTTGTACTGAGCCAAGACTGCACCATTGCACTCCAGTCTGGGTGACAGAGAGAGACTCCATCTCAAAAAAAAAAAAAAAAAAAAATCACATGCCAAGCAATCTTAACGAATGGTAAATTTAGGGCTGCGAAGAAAGTTGAGAATTATAACAGACTGAATTTGCAGCAAGACAAAAAAAAAGTTTAATTTCAGTCACAAAGATGTTATTATCTCAAAACCATAACACAATAAGTATCTGCAGCTCAGCAGATTATCTAAATTTACATGTGAGAAATGGTACGAATAAAACTTACCAGTCCAATCCAGAGACCTTTGCCAAGAATTCTGGCTGCTGCAATCAATAAAACGGAAGAGAAACAGCCAAGGTAACTAAGCGTAAGTCCCAAGTCTGCCATTAATGAGATGAGTGTGCCTCCAAGGTTCAGAACTTGGGGGTACTTCAAACATTGAGTGGGAACTTCTAGAAGGAAAGAGCTGCCATAAAGAAGACCCGCGAGGGCTGAAGAGCTGGCAGGGGTAGTGGGCCCAAGTCCCAACCGCTGGTCAGGAGGCTTTTCCAAGCCAACCAAAACCACCACGGTAGTTGGAGACCCCACTGAGTCCATGAGAACACAGAGAAGTTGGGATAAAACAGCTATAAAAAGAAACATTTGCAAGGCTGTTCAGAAGGCAGTAAAACAAGAAGATACTGTCCAATATTTCCTAAAAAAAAAATACAGGGCCGGGCGTGGTGGCTCACGCCTGTAATCCCAACACTTTGGGAGGCCGAGGCTGGTGGATCATCTGAGGTCAGGAATTCAAGACCAGCCTGGCCAACATGGTGAAACCCTGTGTCTACCAGAAACACAAAAATTGGCTGCGCATGGTACCAGGCACGCGCCTGTAATCCCAGCTCCTCGGGAGGCTGAGGCAGAAGAACCGCTCGAAGCCAGGAGGCGGAGCTTGCAGTGAGCTAAGTTCGCGCCACCGCACTCCAGCCTGGGCGACAGAACGAGACTCCGTCTGGGGGAGAAAAAAATCCCAGAGTTCCACAGGGCGCCAGTCCTAGCCCTTCCGCCAAGGCCACCGTTGGAGAACAGCAGCCCTGGCTCTGCGCTACCCTGTGGCCATGGGCCTCAATAAGGGCCAAAAGATGACCAGGAACGTGAGCAAGCCCAGGAACAGCCTCCGCCGCGGGCGTCTGACCAAACACACCAAGTTTGTGCAGGGCATGATCCGGGAGTTATGTGGCTTCGCCCCGTACGAGCAGCATGCCAAGGAGTTACTGAAGGTCTCCAAGGACAAATGGGCCCTCAAGTTCATCAAGAAAAGGATGGGGGCGCACATCCGCACCAAGAGGAAGCGAGAGGAGCTGAGCAACGTCCTGGCTGCCATGAGGAAAGCCGCTGCCAAGAAAGACGGAGCCCCCTTCCCCGCCCTCTCCCTGAAATAAAGAACAGCTTGACAGGAAAAATAAAATTAAATTAAATAAAAAAATATATATATATATACACACACACACACACACCCCTTTTTTTCTTAGTATTTCCTAACCAATTGGGAAAGAAATAAAAATCTGTATTCAAATAAAATTTGTATCTACTCTGTAGACCAAAGAATGTGCTAGGCACCAGGAACGTGAACATGAGACAGTTAAAACTCCTTGTCTCTCGAGCTACTGGAGTAAAAACCACTGAGTCTCAGTACAGAGGTCTAGACGGTGCTCTAGGAGGCAGCAAGACCCTCTGCAGTGTGGTGGTAAGGGCAGCGTGCAGGGGACGTGGCATCTTCTCAGTGAGGTCCAGGCAGAGGGAAGTACACATTATGAAGATAAGAAGGGTAAAAGAGCCAGAAATGGCAGGATCAGTGAGGACTTTAGATAAAGAAGACCACCAGACTGTGAGCGACCTGTCTTTAAGCTACATTAATGAGTCTCTTTTAGGAATATATTTCTGGGGATGATGCAAAGGGCGGAGGAACAGGAAGAGAGGCTACTGGCAGTCAGGAAAAAAACTGAACAACATTTGAGGAATGACGGAATGAAAGCAGTAAAGCGAGTTCTGACGGAAGCATTTGAAGAGAACTTCTGCAAAGAAACTGGTAGGATCTGGTGACCAACTAGATGTAGACTATGCTGGAAAATGAGGAGATAGAGTAACTCAGGCTTCTGCATTTAGAAAACACTTTTTTCCCCCTCAAGAGACAAGGTCTCTCTGTTGCCCAGGCTAGAGTGCAGTGGTTATTCACAGGCACAATCTTAGTGCACTATGGCCTTGAACTCCTGGGCTCAAGTGATCCTCCCACCTCAGCTGCCAGAGTAGCCACAACTACAGGCACACATCATCGCACCCAGGTGGCGACACTTTTAAAAATTAAAAAGCAGAGTGACAAAATTTTAGAGACAGAAGGGTCATCCCCAGGTCACCGCGAGGCAGGATAAAGCCTGTGGGCCCCACTGTTGTAGACCCTGGCAATTAAGAAGTAGCATGAGTAGGAAGCCTGGCAGAGAGAAGATAATGGCTCCAGCAGCTGCTGCAAAAAGAAAAGCTGGAAGGTTACAAACATACATCGGCAAAAATTCTTACTATTTGTTAGGGTAAGATTAGGGAACTTAATTCTATTCTTACATAGACCTCATAAAATTTCTTATTGCCTTCTACTTTCTTTCAAAGATATTTATGTTGTTCATTTAAACACATACACAGAAAGTTACACACAGGGTAATTTCTGTCACCGATCCTAGAGCCCTTAAGGACAGCCATAAACCAAAAGCAGTATTTATTCCCTCCCCCTCACCCTGCAACCACATTTTACAAGAAAGAAAACTGAAAGAAGCACAGGCCATATGATCTTTCAGTACAATCAGGAAATTTTAGACAAGATAATGAGTTTGTTTTAGGGCCAGTTATATTTGAGATGTCAACAGACATTTAGGTAGTGATGTAAAGTAGACAGCTGGACATATACATCTGTGGCTCAGAATACAGAGCTACAGATATAAATGTGGTAGTCACCAGCCCACAAATGGTCTTAACACCATGGAAACAGATGCGATCATCTTCAGAGAGAATGCAGATGAGAACAACAACAGACCTACAACAGTGACACTGAGGAAGGGCCAACATTTAGAAAAAAACAACAAAGAAACTGAGAGGTACTGCTTTTGGTTCAACTTCTATCTACTTCTTCACTAATCAAAGACAGAAACCTTTTCTATTAAAGCGTATATATGTATTTTCAGTGCCAAATACCGAAGTATTGGAATACTGAAGACAATCAACTATAAATTTTAACAATTTCAGTAAGTTGCCAGCAGTTAGTGACAGCAATCTATCACTTTCCCTGAACTGTCAGAGAGAAAAGGATTCCACGTAAGTGACATATCCCAATAAAGGAAGCTTTTCCCTTTTTGTGAACAGTTCATAGCTCAAATTCTTCCAAGAACCAGGCAGGTGAGTGTGAAGCACTAAGATTCAGACAGTAAATGTTGGGTCCGAGTTCTACTGGAGTGGGCCTGTGCCTCCTAAGGGCATTCAAATTCAGTCTTCTGTAGAGAATACCTGTATCATGTGAACTAGAAATCCAAACCATGCTTCCATGGGCTTTTTAACAACTGCACAAGGCTGCATAATGACAAACTTTCTTATATTTATCATCTCCAAGGTCTATTCTCCAGCTATTAACCATTTTTCTCTATATACTAAGTCCTCATAAACTCTGTGTTGTAAAAGACACAATTTAAAAAATGATCGGTTCTGTGGCTTTGGGTAAGTTATTTCACAGCCTCAGTTTTTCGTCTGTAAAATAGAGATGATTAATAATATTGTTATGAAAACTGAAAGCGTGCTTAAAGAAGGCTGAGCACTCAGTGAAGGTGAGGTCATTAATGAAGGATGAGGAAGAGGGGAAAAGAAAGTGAGTAAATGATGATGTCCTTTAAGCACATCACTGATGATCAAAGTGCCAATAATGCCTACACAACTACAAGTAACACCGGAGTGTCATACATACCAAAAAACAAACACACACACACACACATACACAGACGCACATAAGTTATACCTTTTCTTGGTTTCTAATTGCTCAAAGTTTTTAACTATTAACTGAACAAAATATGACAATTAAATGGTACCTAACAAAATGTGTCATTAAAAAGAAGTTTAATTCTCGGTATTTTATTTGACTGTATTAGCCACCTTTTTTAAAAAAAAAAACTTTTTTATTTTTATAGAGATGGTATCTCACTATGTTGCTCAGGCTGGTTTTGAACTGGGCTTAAGTGATCCTCTTGCCTTGTGACTCCCAAAGTACTGGGATTATAGGCATGAACCGTCATGCTTGGCCTTAAAATCTTTTTTTTTTTTTTTTTTTTTTTTGAGATGGAGTTTCACTCCTATTGCCCAGGCTAGAGTGCAATGGTGCGATCTCGGATCACTGCAACCTTCACCTCCCGGGTTCAAGCGAATCTCCTGCCTCAGCCTCCCAAGTAGCTGGGATTACAGGCATGTGCCACCACACCCGAGTAATTCTGTATTTTTAGTAGAGATGGGGTTTCTCCATGTTGGTCAGGATGGTCTCGAACTCCCGACCTCAGGTGATCTACCCGCCTCGGCCTCCCAAATTGCTGGGATTACAGGCGTGAGCCACCATGCCTAGTTGGCCTTAACAATCTTTTAAATCATCTCCTGAAAAGGTTGCTACTACTTAAAGGAAGCAAATTTTATAGTCCTAAAAAGTCAGAGTCACATTTATATTTAAACACCAGCACCCTTGCCTAAGAAATCACACAGTTCTCTTCAGATAGAAAAGAACTGGGCTAGGCGTGGTGGTACAAGTACTTAATTCCAATACTTTAGGAGGCTGAGGAAACAAGACTGTTTAAGTTCAGGAGTCTGAGAGCAGACTGAGAAACACAACGAGATCCCATCCTTATGAAAAATTTAAAAAAAAAAAAAAAAAAGTCAGGCATGGTGGTGTGCACCTATAGTCTCAGTTACCTGGGAGGCTGACGTGGGAAAATCATTTGAGCTCCCGGGTTGAGGCTGCAGTGAGCTATGATCATACCACTATACTCCAGCCTGCTGACAGAGCAAGACCCCGCCTCTCAACAAAAAACAAACAAACAAACAAACAAAAAAGATTTGAAACTGAATATTCAAAGGTTAAACCAAGCTGGTCTAGAAGAGGGTGGAAAATAACAAAACTGTCAATTCTGTCCACGTGTGCTAGTTACATTTGTTCTATTTGATGACCAACGACATCACACCTCGTCTCTCAGCCTTCTTAAGGCACATAAATGGAAGTGACTGGAGAAAAGACATGAAGAGCACATCCTGTTCCACACATCTGCAGCTTGATGTGGGCCACCTTGTACATACATACAATGGACATCTTTGTTGTTGTTCAGGTATCATACTCTGAGGCTTAGGGGTTTGGAGCTGCAAAACATAGCTTTGAGAGCATCTCTAATATTAAATGGTATGTGACATTCTTAAGTCATAAACTTATTTTTTTTTTATCTACAAAGTGAGAATAAAGCCATCTACATTACTTATCAACAAGTATTTTTTAAAGAATTAAATAGTGAACAGGAAAATGCTCTATAAAATGAAAGGCATTTAAGTTATTTCTTCCCTGGCTAGGACACAGCTAAAAGAACAGTACTAGTATAATTTAAAATAATCATTCTTGGTTTTCTTAAAGAACAGAAAAAAAAACTGGTCAAATTCCTTGGTACTAAGTTTCCAGACTCTAAATGCCTAAATTTCAAATGCTGGAAGTTATCAGTTTATAAGAATCCCATCTAGAATCTTAGTTGTATCAATTCACCATTTTGGGCATTAGTTTTTCTATCTAATGTATAAAACAAGGGTGTCAGATGACCCAGACTTCCATGTTCTTTTCTTGCTATCACGCTTTTTCATTCCATTAATCATCCTATATATGCATGGTCAAAAATCAAGCAATAATAGTTAAATGCTTTTGAATAGCAAATAAAAAATATTAAAACGTTGCATCACTCATAAATGAACTTTTAACTTTCAAAACCTCAACTATACTAAAGTCATAAAAAAAAGTAATTCTCAAATATGGTGATTCCTCCTAATAATCTATTCTTATGCATATGACCTAGAATGAGGATGACATATGATATGTAAATCTTTTTCTCATATGAGCTCTTGTTGCCCATGTGCCTCTCAAAGCATGACCATTTCATTGAGCTAAGTGTTATTCTAGTGTTAAAACGTAGTGGCTACTTTGGCCAGGCACAGTGGCTCACGCCTGTAATACCAGCACTATGGGAGTCCGAAGCAGGTGGATCACCTAAGGACAGGAGTCGAGACCAGCCTGGCCAACATGGTGAAACCCTGACTCTACTAAAAATACAAAAAAAATTAGCCAGACATAGTGGCGGGCACCTGTAATCCCAGTTACTCAGGAGGCTGAGGCAGGAGAATCACTTGAACCCAGGAGGCAGAAGTTGCAGTGAGCCGAGATGGTGCCACTGCACTCGAGCC